ATGCGATAAAGGAGAAATGAAAATGAAATGAAAAGAAATGGACACAAAAAAAGAATATATGATAAATAAAGGAAGAATGGAAATAATTATCACCAGTAGCAACATCACTTTTTTATTGCATTGTAACTATAAATAATTATGAAAACATTAATAACAGAAAATGATGATGATGTTGCTCTTAAATTCCATTTTATCCATTGTCACCCTCATTATTGCTGGTGTTATTACGATAATCATTTTCCAAGGGTACCAATGGTTTTCCAAGGGTTTCCAAGGGTACCAATGGTTTTCCAAGGGTTTCCAAGGGTACCAATGGTTTTCCAAGGGTTTCCAAGGGTACCAATGGTTTTCCAAGGGTTTCCAAGGGTACCAATGGTTTTCCAAGGGTTTCCAAGGGTACCAATGGTTTTCCAAGGGTACCAATGGTTTTCCAAGGGTTTCCAAGGGTACCAATGGTTTTCCAAGGGTTTCCAAGGGTACCAATGGTTTTCCAAGGGTACCAATGGTTTTCCAAGGGTACCAATGGTTTTCCAAGGGTACCAATGGTTTTCCAAGGGTACCAATGGTTTTCCAAGGGTACCAATGGTTTTCCAAGGGTACCAATGGTTTTCCAAGGCTACCAATGGTTTTCCAAGGGTACCAATGGTTTTCCAAGGGTACCAAAGGTTTTCCAAGGGTGCCAATGGTTTTCCAAGGGTTTCCAAGGGTACCAATGGTTTTCCAAGGGTACCAATGGTTTTCCAAGGGTTTCCAAGGGTTTCCAAGGGTACCAATGGTTTTCCAAGGGTACCAATGGTTTTCCAAGGGTACCAATGGTTTTCCAAGGGTACCAATGGTTTTCCAATGGTTTTCCAAGGGTACCAATGGTTTTCCAAGGGTACCAATGGTTTTCCAAGGGTACCAATGGTTTTCCAAGGGTACCAATGGTTTTCCAAGGGTACCAATGGTTTTCCAAGGGTACCAATGGTTTTCCAAGGGTACCAATGGTTTTCCAAGGGTACCAATGGTTTTCCAAGGGTACCAATGGTTTTCCAAGGGTACCAATGGTTTTCCAAGGGTACCAATGGTTTTCCAATGGAATTGATACATTTCATTACCATAATTATCATTATTATTATCATCATTACATTCTATTGTTATTTAATGCATTTATAATTACCATCGTTATTGATTTTCATCACCATTGCCACTATACTGCTGTTGCTAAGTATCATAACTATTCTCATTATTTATAATTATCAACATTAGATTTAATATTTCTATTATTCTTATCATTAAAACGAATAAGAAAGAGACACCAACATTTAAGATTTGAAAAACATAATAATTAAAGAACAAAATGACGAAATGATGAAGAAACCGAGGATGAAAAAATAGAGAATGGGTGCATAAGCATAGGGAGAGATAAAAGAACTGAATTAAAGAACAGATAATGAGATAGACATAAGATTAAGAACACGATAAAGAATGAAAAATAAAGTCAAGAGATAAGATAGGATGAGATAGATACAGAGCAAGTAGATTGACCAAGATTAAGATAACGAATGAATAAATAGACAATAAAGTAAATACAATGAATAAATGAATAAATGTGATTAGTAGATAAATAGATATAATACGAAATAGACAAACATAACGCAAAATAGATAGATAGATAGAATGAATAGATAAAGAAAGTGAAAAAAATAAAATAGAAAAATAAATAAAAAGACCAAGGATCATACAAAAATAATAAACGAATTGTTAAAGAATGAAATGCAGAATAATGGAACAGACTAAGCATAGTTGATAAATAAGGGACAAATAGACCAAGAGGAAGATAGAGAAAAGACCAAGAATATAATTTTTTAGATAAAGTAAAGAGGAAGACGAACAAAGTCATTTTTCTTTCTCGTAAGACTCGGAAAGCAAAGAAAGGAAGGCACAGGAGCGAGAGAGAGAGAGGGGGGGGTGGAGGGAAAGATAGAGAGGAAGAGGGAAGGTAGGAGAAAAATAGGAGTGAGGAGGAGGCAGGAAGAGTGAGCAGTGAAGAAAAAAAAGTGACTCCAGAGAGAATTTTCTGCATGACAGATATTTGTGTGTGTGTGTGTGTGTGTGTGTGTGTGTGTGTGTGTGTGTGTGTGTGTGTGTGTGTGTGTGTGTGTGTGTGTGTGTGTGTTTGTGTGTGTGTGTGTGTTTGTACCTGTGTGTGTGTGTTTGTACCTGTGTACGCACACGTGTGTTTGTACTTGTGTGTGAGCATATATGTACGTATATATGTGTTTACGTGCATGTATATATATGTGTGTGCATAAGCAGATTTTTTCCCAACCTTTCCGAACAAAAGCAGACTTTGCAAGATACTCAAGACGCTCCATGAAAAGACATCTTACTAATCTGCTTATAAGTTCTGCCTCCCTTGCCTCTTTGACTCTTGGGGGAAACACGTGGAGGAGGAGAGGAAGAGGAGGGAGGAAGGAGAGAAGGAGAAAGGGAAATAAAGGGGGTGGGAGAGAGGAAT